CCCCTCCCCCCCCTCCATCATTTGGATTTCCCTTAAAAGTAATTTTTTTGATGGGGAAGAAAACATTTAGATGATGTTTCTTCATTTTTTTTCCCTCCCCCCTCTATTTCTTTTTTTTATCTAAAAATAAATGGGGGGGGAGAAAAAAAATACAAATTGAAAATAAAATTTTTTTACTTTTTTTCTCTTTTCTCAATAAAAAGTTTATTTATCCCAAAGAAAATAAATTTCAGGGGGGGAGGGGGCAGATGTGATGACACTTCTCATAAGAAAAGGGGGAGTGCCGGGCGGTGTGACTCAGTGGATTGAGTGTCGGCCTGAGGACTGAAGGGTCCCGCACAAGCCTGGGTTGCAGGCTCGATCCTCAGTAGGGGGCATGCAGGAGGCAGCCGATCCATGATTCTCTCTCATCACTGATGTTTCTATCTCTCTCTCCCTCTCCCTTCCTCTCTGAAATCAATAAAAATATTTAGAAAAAAAAGGGGGAGTGCCCGGCGGCGTGGCTCAGTGGATTGAGTGTCGGCCTGCGGACGGAAGGGTCCCGCACATGCCCAGGTTGCGGGCTCAATCCCCATTGTGGGGCATTCGGGAGGCAGCCGATCCACGATTCTCTCTCATCATTGATGTTTCTCGCTCTTCTCTCCCTTCCTCTCTGAAATCAATTTTTTAAAAAGTCCCCTTATTTTCTGTAAGTACCTTTATACTAAACACAATTTTCATTCAAGTCTGAGACATGCATTTCAACACCCACGGTGTGTTTCTGGGAGCTTTGGTTCTAGGTTATGAATGAAACCTGCATTCCAGCAGAGACCGGGGATGCGTCCTAGGACAAGCAGACCCTGTGCCTGAGAGCCTTGAGCCTCTGCTGGCCATCTTCCTACTCGCGACCGGGGACCATTTTTAAACGTTGTAAAGGGAAAACGAGAACGAACGTCGTACCTTCCCGGTGGCCGTGGAGCCGGTGAAGGAGATCTTGGACACGAGGGGGTCGGTGCAAAGCGCCTCCCCCACCTCCTGGGCCCGCCTCCGGGAGCAGGGCACCACGTTGTAGGCCCCGGGGGGGATCCCAGCCTGGTTGGCGAGCTGTGGAGGGACCAGCAGGCACGGGCAGCGAGTGAGAAAACAGAAAAGAGAAATAAACCGACGTTTTCCTCTAAAAAGAAACGGGGGGAGACTCGGCTGCCTTTGGGGACAGGATCAGAATATATTTGGGAGTGAAACGGGCGCCTCATCGGTGCCGCTGTGATATGCGTGTTGTCACTCCTTTAAAATGAGGAGGCGCCGGGACAGGCCTGGCGGGAGCAGCAGGAGAGCTGAGGGACGGGTGGCTACAGCCCCGCAGTCGGGGCGCTGCTTTAAAATATGGGGGGACCCTCCAGCCAAGAGGCATCGGGGGGAGTGGTGGGGGCAGATGGGTCAGGGGCTCTGGAGTGACAGGCAGGGGGAGGGGAGCGAGGCTGGGCAGGTGGCATCTGTCAGGGCCTGAGGGCACTGCGGGAAGCTTGGGCTTTACTCTGAGTGACAGGAGCCGGGGGGCTTCACGCACAGAATGACCAGACCTGCCTCGGACGGACCTGGAGAAGGGAGGGGGCGGGAGCGCCCAGGTGTCGCCATCTGACCAGGTCTGCCCCTTTGATAAAAACGATGCAGATGGCATTTTTAGGGCAGCCCACAGACGTCAGGAAATCCTCACCATTGCTTTGTCTAAAAAGGGCAACATCTGACTTAAGAGAATGGCGGACACGTTCGAGCAACGCCATCCAGCGAGAGGCGCAGGCCCAGCGGAGGCTCCCACCTGCGTCTCCGTCCCGGGGCTCACCTCGGCCAGCGCCAGGGCTGAGAAGGGCGTGTCTTCGGCAGGTTTGACCACGACGGTGCAGCCGGCGGCCAGGGCGGCCCCCACCTTGCGGGTGATCATGGCGCTGGGGAAGTTCCACTGGGGACCGAGGGGCAGAGGCCGTTAGGGGGGCGCCGCCCCAGTGTGCACCTGACCCCCGGCCGATGCCCCCACGTACCGGGGTGATGACGGCGGCCACTCCGACCGGCTGCTTGAGCACCAGGGCCCGCTTCTCCCGGGAGGCGGTGCTGATGATGTCCCCGTAGATGCGGCGCGCTTCCTCCGAAAACCACTCCAGGAACTGGGCGGAGTACAGAACCTCCCCCTGCGCCTCCTTCAGCGGCTTCCCCTGAATCCGGGCAGAAAAGGACCCCATCACCTTCCATCACAACAGCAGGACTGTGCTCGGACCTCCCCCAGGCTGGGAGCGGAGAGGGGGAGCCCCATCGCCAACCCGCGGGGCGGGGGAAATAAGCAGGATCCAGCGGTGACGGAGTGCGCTCAGACCGCCCTTCAGTGTGTCCCCACGTTAGAGGAGAGACCGCACCTGCTGACTTCTTTTCTCCTCCGCACCTCGCCTCAAAGTGGTGGCCGGGGTGCAAGGAGCTGAGGACAGCTGCGGAGATGCCAGCGGTACGTCTTTAAATGCACAGACGCAACAGGAAAACCAACCAAAACATTCGTATGGAACAAATGGGACGGGAACAGCAGTGTTCACACAGTTACACCCGAAACCCCCCTCCCGCACAAGCCTGAAGAGGACGTTAGAACACACACACACTGATACATACACGCGTGCACACACACACACACACACACACACACACGTTGTCTCAGAAAACCAGGGCCGGCCTTTAATGGCACTGAGATTCGCTGGCATCTGATCATCAGGCAGGGAACCCCCTGGTGCAGCCACCCGGTGGAGGTCGGCTCCGCCAGCTCCCAGGCAGCGCCGGCGGGACTCACGCTCTCGGCTGTGATGATCCTGGCCAGGTCGTCCTTGTGTTGCATCATCAGGTCATACCATTTCCGAAGCAGCGCGCTCCGTTCCTGGAAGAGATGAAACGGTAGAGAAAGAGCGAAACGCCAAGCGTAAGAGACATGAGACAATCTTCAGCTCCGACAGCCTCAGCCACGGCTCCTTCCTGGGGAGACGCAGCTCCCCGTCCTGGGAGGAGCAGGAGCACAGACCCCATTGAACACGCCCCTCCCCGACCCCTCCTCTCTGTCCCTGTGACGGTCCCACTCCAGGGCCTCCCACACTGCAGTCACACAGCACCTGCCCTTGTGTGGCCGTTCCCCTGGCATATGTCCTCCAGGGAGTCCCCTTTTTAAAAAATACATTTTTTTAAATTGATTTCAGATAGGAAGGGAGAGGGAGAGAGAGCGAGAGAGACAATGATGAGAGAGAATCATGGACCGGCTGCCTCCTGCACTGCATGCCCCACACTGGGGATCGAGCCCGCGACCCTGGCCAGGAATCTAACGGTGACCTCCTAGGAGGCTCATAGGTCCACGCCCGACCACTGAGCCACGCGGCCGGGCTACAGCTCCGTCTTTCAACAGCTCAGGGCAGGTGAGCCTGGGCTGCGCCTCCCGGTGCGGTGGGTGTCTGCAGGGGCAGGTGCCGAAGGGCAGGTGCTACTCAGTGCAGGAGGGGAAGGGGGAGGAGGGGGAGGAGAGCCAGGAGGAACAAGGAGGATGCGCCTCCCAGGTTTTCTTCCCTCCAGTTCCCGTCTCACGAGCCAACACGAAAGTACCCCAGGGGCGGTGAAGAATCAGTTCATGGATTCTT